CTAACAAATCAATGGGACCATGGCAATGCCTAATGCTCGAATCAAATCCTCAAATCCAGTCTGATCGCTCAGCGTTCACTCATTTTGGGCTTTGGTATGTCGGTTCGTCGTGCGGAGTTTACCGGGGTCACGCTGTCGCTGGATGTAGGCCAGAAAAAGCTACCTGAGCCGCTCCTCTGTCTCCTCCTCCTCTTCTATCATCATCGTCGTCGTCGTTGTTGTCATCGTCATCATTTCATCGTCGTCGTTGTCATCGTCATCATCGTCGTCGTTGTCATCGTCATCAGCATCACCAACATCGTCAGCACCACCAACATTGCCAGCATCATCGGCATTATAATGATCATAAGTGTCATCATGTTTTGTCATCATCAGCATCATCACCAATCAAAATCAATCACAAACAATCATAACCCATCATAAACAACCATAGTTAATCACAATCAATCATCATCATCGTCGTCATCATCAGCAGCATCTGCAGCATCATCATCATCATCATCATCATCATCATCATCATCATCATCATCATCATCATCATCCTCATCATCATCGTCATCCGCATCATCATCGTCGTCGTCGTCATCATCATCAGCAGCATCAGCATCAGCATCAGCAGCAGCATCATCATCGACATCCTGGTTCAATCATGCGCGCCAAGACGCGAAGTGTCTAGGGAACCAGACCAACTGTATGTTCGGCATGCAAAAGGGAAGTGAAACGCCCGGCCCATGTCATCGTTTTTGTTCACTTTGGATAAATTCAGAGGATACTCCGCAGAAACCCTCACATCTCGTTACACAACTGGGGTGTCCTGCCTCAGGCTCCTTCTCCCGGGGCCGGGACGGGGATGGACCTGGACCCGCCTGCGGAAATCTCGAGTTACTGGAAATGGAAAGAAATACCCTCCCACCAATTAACATGGAACCTGACGTTCGGAAGGTCCTGGTTTGGACCATTTTCCTTTTAAAGAAACCCCCTGTCATTCCATGCTAGTTGGTGGGAGGGTACCCATCCCCTTTGGTTTCAAATTTCTATTGGGAAATCAGAATCTGCAACGAGGTGACCACACCATGAACCCAACTAAAGAGGCCCGGATCTTGTAATGAGAGCCGTCTACTAATCAGGGGTTCCCAATACGAGTTCTACAAGTCGCTGTGGCATCATGCTATGATCCATTTACACGCACGCCCGGCAGAGCAAAGCATGCAACGTATCTCAAACAGGAACAATGTCGAGGCTGTTTTGGATGCGTGGCTGTTGGCTCAAAATGGTTCTGAGCCCAAGTACATCTCTTGCATTCGGCGGCATGTCCCTGCAGCAGGCTTTTCCCCGCGTAGGTCTGGAACGAAGGGCTGCAGCCACGGCTTCATGCAACCAGCCCAACTCGTCACCTGCGGCACCGCCAGGGTAAATGTCTATGTACAGCCATCCCTTTGTCCCGACTACACCCGTCTCGCCGGCCAGGATCTGTTCCCTTCCGCGAGACCCCTCTTGGGCCGATTATTTGCACGCTCTGCACCGTGCCAGGGAGTCACAACGGAAATGGAGTTCTTGACCAACTTGGCCTAGGGGGGGACTTGCAGAGGCCTTGACTCTACTTGAATGCTCCACCTGGCACGGGTCATTGGCGAGTCACTTCTTCTTGGGTGCTGAAGACTTGGCTTTAAAGACCTGGCACGTTGCGAAGTTCGCGCGATAGAGCTGGTCTTTCTACTTGGGCTGTGTCACAACTTGTGTCTCTTGAACGGCTTGGCCTGCTCTTGATTGCCTGTCAAAAAGCAACGGGAACTTCTCGTTTTGATTTTGTCAAATGAGTTTGTATCCATGACCATGGGAACTGCATGGCATTCGAGCTGAATTTCCGCGAACTGAGCCGGCGCAAGCCGGCAGATCGAAATGGCGCCTTTTCCAACTCCAAGGCTGAAGCTGTCCATAGATTTCTCGGCGAATCGGCGAATCCATTGGTGAGAATATCCCCCCAAGCGAACGCAGTCATTATTTATGTCGGGGGGTGAGAGAGTTTCAAGAATTGCGGTTCGAATGTGAAATGCTCGAACGAGCCAGGGCGTTGTGAAATGCGTGCGAGATAATGCGATCATGAAAACTTCTTGGGAAGGATTGCGCCCGTTCTCTATCTGTGACGCAGTCGTCGAAGCAGGCGGAGCCTGAATGAGCGGGCTTTGCAACAGTGCAAGTCGACAAGCAGATCTCATGGCAGAGATTCTGTGTGGAAAGACCTCCAAGCGCGAAGACTTCAGTTGCCTCTATTGGACTTCACCATGCGACTCTGGCAAAGCCGCTTGGCGCAAGGCTCTCTGAAAGGAAGTGCGCTCGCACATCCTCCGGGCTTGCCCCGCCTGGTGGGACCTGCACGAGCAAAGGCCGGTGAGCCGCAGGTCAGGACGGGGCGAAGGACTTGGCAAAGCCTTCAAGAAGAATGGGAACAGCTCGCTTGGATGTGCAAGCGCACAGAGACACAATGAATAGATAAGCTCAAGGCCGCTGCCTGACCTGTGATCTTGAGATGTTGAGTGTCCTTCCAGCGAATCTGTGGACTCCGCTTTGCTTTGAGTTGCCGCTTCTTTAGCCACTGCAGGGCTCAAAAGACATGGGCACTGGCTAGTGCCAAATGCCTGGCACAACATACGTGCTGCAGACAAACAGTTGCCAGACATTCTGAAACGAGTGCTCCAGGAACATGTGTGTGTGTGTGTGAGGACATGTATGCTGCCACCACCACAGCCATCGGAAAGTGTGCCGAGAAGACGAAGATCAAAATGATAACTCATCGTTTCAGAGTTCGATTGCTTCCGCCTTCTGCTCGCACACCCATATGCAAGGCACTAACTTTCCAACTTTCCCACACCATCCTGGCTTTCCCACCTTCATGATGCCTTCGATGGCGTGCTTCACCTTTGCATCCTGCTCCTTTGTCAACTCTTCTTTGACCTAGGCAGTAGTAGCGTGGCAGAGCGTTCGCGCCTTGCCGTCGCCCAATCTACCAGATCTGCCTAAATTGACCATCTCGAGGGCTGCCTTGTGCGGACTTTCACGCTTTATCCAAGACCTCCGGCCGGACTGACGCAGTCTGAGTTGCCATAAACTGCACTACGTCTGGCATCTTCTCCTCAGCTTTCGGGGACAAGGTTTGGCGATGGAGCAATCAGCTGGTAACCCAGTGGACTCCAAGCCAACTCTGGGGGAGGTAACATGAAAATCCCTCTGCCAGGGCAGCAAAAGACGAAGTCTGGGCGCATGCTCGAGTTCCGCAACTCCCGCTGGCTCGGAGCCCAAAAAGCTTTCAAACTGCACCTGCCCACGAAACGCGCCAATGGTCTGCCCATCTGCTTCCACTTCCAAGAGTCCATGGCCGCATTCACCTTCGGCAGATTCGCAATCTTACCTCGCGCAGCGACAGAATCGGCGGCGACAAACAAAGGCTGTCTTCAAAGTGTCAAAAAACAAACAAAGGTGGTATATGCGCATGTTCGGCAATAGGCAATTGAACGCGAAGATGTCTTGATTTGCGGCCTCTTTTGGGGGTGGTTCGTTGGAATCCAAAGGGAAACAGCAGAATGAATATCTAATTTGAGCAGAGCCCAAGATTCATTGACATGTGGTTCTACCAACATGCTTACAAAGGCCTATATAGGCCCTACTGTAACCACAACAAGACCAGGTAGAACCACCAAGTAAAGTGGCCGACTTGCCCATGCCGAGGTGCTGCGAAGGACGTAGTGGGATGCGAAGACCATGGCACCCAGGGAGAGCGTCTCCACGCACCTCAGACGAGCCGGTCGGGCTTCCCCGGTCTTACCCACCAGCTGACTTTCTTCACCGAGCTGGCTTGAAAGGGGGTGAATGTCAACTGATGTGGCGGACACGCTCAGTGTTCAAATGCCCCCCGGAATGCTCAAGACTCGCCACACTTTTGGTGCAGCGAGTGGCAGCGGGTGGCAAGCAAAACTGAATAATGCTGCTCACGGCGTGTGGCAAGTGTGGGTAGGAGACTTTGCTGGAGACCTGTTGGACATGGGGATCTATGTCCGCCAATCATTTTGTTCATGGTGTTGGCAATTAAAGTTGTAGGCCTATTGCTGATCTGATACAGACCCCTATCGACAAGTTGCTTGGAAAGCTCTGGGTTGCCACAGTAGGCATCCACGCAGAAGCGCATGGTAGTGTTGTGCAACTGCTTCCTGCGCAAACCAATCTGAAGCATAAACAGCTAAAAATACATGCGTTTAAAAGCGCGACAAATCTGCGGGAATGCAAAATACCATTGCTTCTACTGGGGTTGATTTTCCTGGCAAGTACAGTCATGAGAGCCTGAGCTATGCACCACTTGCTTTGCGCTGCAATCAGCTAACGTGGGAAAACTGATGAATAATGATAAATGTTCGGAAGCGAACACGCAAGAGGAATAATTGCGTAGAGAGCCCTGCATCCACGGCTTGCCCCAACCTTTGTGCAATTTGATGCCCAGGAGAAACCAGTCTGGATTCATTCCGTGCAAAGCCCAGAGTCTCTCGCACAAACTGCCAAGTCCCAATGCTCACAGCAGGTTTTCGTTCACAACTCACAGCCTGTAATGCTGAGGTGCCAAACCCATGTGATCGCACACCCGTGATGCGGACCTTGCCATCCCGGCTGCCCGTCCTCAGGTACTTTCTGTCGTGAGGATAGGCAGCCACAAACTCTGGCGTGCCAAAGAGCCCAACAAGGAGTCCTTGGCTTCAGAGCAAACCTCAAACACTTGGGTCTGTCTTCGTTTGAGGATACCTCTTTGTTTTTGTTGTTGTTGTTGTCGTTGTCGTTGTCATTGTCATTGTCACTGTCGTCGTCGTCGTCGTCGTCGTCGTCGTCGTCGTCGTCGTCGTCGTCGTCGTCGTCGTCGTCGTCGTCGTCGTTGTTTTCGTTGTCGATGTCGTTGTCGTTGTCGTTGTCGTTGTCGTTGTCGTTGTCGTTGGCGTTGTCGTTGTCGTTGTGGTTGTGGTTGTGGTTGTGGTTGTGGTTGTGGTTGTGGTTGTGGTTGTGGTTGTGGTTGTGGTTGTGGTTGTGGTTGTGCTTGTGCTTGTGGTTGTGGTTGTGGTTGTGGCTGTGGTTGCGGTTGTGGTTGTGGTTGTGGTTGTGGTTGTGGTTGCGGTCGTGGTCGTGGTCGTGGTCGTGGTCGTGGTCGCGGTCGTGGTCGTGGTCGTGGTCGTGTGGTTGTGGTTGCGGTTGTGGTTGCGGTTGTGGTTGTGGTTGTGGTTGTTGTTGTTGTTGGTGGTGGTGGTGGTGGTGTTGTTGCTGTTGTTGCTGTTGTTGCTGTTGTTGCTGTTGTTGCTGCTGTTGCTGCTGTTGCTGCTGTTGCTGCTGTTGCTGCTGTTGTTGCTGCTGCTGTTGCTGCTGCTGCTGCTGTTGTTGTTGTTGTTGTTGTTGCTGCTGCTGTTGTTGTTGATGTCCTTGTTCTTGTTCTTGTTCTTGTTCTTGTTCTTGTTGCTGTTGCTGTCGCTGATGTTGTTGCTGTTGTTGTTGTTGTTGTTGGTGGTGGTGGTGGTGGTGTTGGTGTTGTTGTTGGTGTTGTTGTTGGTGTTGTTGTTGGTGTTGTTGTTGGTGTTGTTGTTGGTGTTGTTGTTGGTGTTGTTGTTGGTGTTGTTGTTGTTGTTGTTGTTGTTGTTGCTGTTGTTGCTGCTGTTGCTGCTGCTGTTGTTGCTGTTGTCGTTGATGTTGTGGCTGCTGCCGCTAGTGTTGCTGCTGTTGTTGTGGTTGCTGTGGTTGTTGTGGTTGTTGTGTTTGTTGTGTTTGTCGTGTTTGTCGTGTTTGTCGTGTTTGTCGTGTTTGTTGTGTTTGTTGTGTTTGTTGTGTTTGTTGTGTTTGTTGT